CTCCATCAGTGAAATTCAGACCTTTTGTTTAAAGAACATGATATTGATGAAGCTAGGTACAATAAGGACCTAACATAAAGGTCGGATGCAAGTGATACAGCACTGATAAGGACGATACAGCAAGTGTATCCAGTTGTAGCCGAGTGCCCCCTATGCTCACCCCGTGTTATCTCTAATTTTTATAGATGATACATAGATGAATCTTTTCTGGGTTCAGTGATGATGCATCTGATACAAGTAGCATAAGTGAACAGTGTTAGGGGCTTCCATGGTGGTGCTTTCCATAGATCTTTTCAAGAATAGGTGAATCCCTTCCAGAATGGCTGAATCTCTTCCAGAATGGCTGAATCTCTTCCAGAATGGCTGAATCTCTTCCAGAATACCTTACAAAGGGATCTTTTCAAGATTACCTTGCAAACTGATCTTTCCCTATAATACTTTCAAGACTACCTTACACTTCACAAGCTTGGCTACATACCACCTACAGGTACTAAATCCAAATGTGTACATGAGTGTGTTATTTTGCAAGCACAGAGAATGAAGAATCAGGAAGCAAAAATCTGTTTGTACCTGGTGCATCGAGAGCAAAGTCGCGCTGCGTACCATAGACTGCTTCGTTGATTATCACTCTCTTCCAAAGTAGTGAGTAATACAGAGTGTTACTGTGTAAATAGTGGTGAATTTTGAACAAGTAATATTGCAACAATAAACATTTATTGTGGGCACATCATTTACACATGTATCACAGTTCCATGGAGCATTATGAATGCTATAATGTATACATTTTGTAAAGGACACAAATATGCATCATATACAATAAAAAAATATAAAAAATAAAACTGCAGGGTGCTTCACGCACAGGTGCACACCCAATGATGATGTCACATGCCCCCTTCTTCACGTCCCTACAGCCAAAGCATGTGGAATTCTTTAGTTTTTTTACATGTATGCCCCCGAAGAAACCAGAACATCCGCTGAAGCCAGATCCTACCCAACGGGAAGACCAGCACGGCCAAGATCAGGATCCCGCACCACAGCCCAAACAACCGAAGTGTGACCCGGGTGCCCTGTAAAAACAGTCGTAAGTGAGACCGCAGCTGCAACAATGTCGCCAGAGGGAGAGACAAGGAAGCGGTCTGAGAGTCCCACAGCCCAGTCCCAGTCTGAACCTGAGAGGAAACCAAATGGGACTTCTTCCAGAACACCAAAAACCCAAACCTGGCGAGCTGGTAAGGAACCAAATCCCTGGCAAGCAGACATACAGATTGACTGGGAGCTCACACCAGTCAATCGTCGAGGTAAGTTAAAATTCAAACGTGTCACCATGACCCGGTTAAGGAATGTGGACATGCGAGGTACCAGATCCAAACTGGAAGGAAGGCAACGAAAGCAGTAAGTCTGTCACTCCATGGCAAAACTGAGCCAGTCCCTGAACACCGGATAAATCAGGACGTGCTAATACACGTCCCGGAGGTCCAGACACACCATCGAGGCACCCCGCGCCACAAGCAGCCGGACCCAAGACAGAGTGGTCATCTGAAAGGAGGGACAAAAAACCCAAGGGATCAGACAGGACAAGTCCAGTATGAATCGCAGACCTGCCCAGTCCTGTTTCGGAACTGAAAACAGGCAGGAAACCCACTCCAGGAGACCTGACAGAGCACAGGGGAAGAGGCCCACCCCACAAACCCCAATTCCCCCGAAGGAGAAGGACAGAAGCAACGCCAACGCAGGCTGGAGGAAAATGACCTGAATTGCCCATGAATCGTGGGACCAGGCGAGAACAAACAGCATCAGACTCCACCCTATCGCTCCGCCAACAGGGCGAACCGTGAAAGGGCCAATGACCTCTACAAGAGCTCGAATGATGCTCCGAGTGATCACTGAGCCAATGGCTCTGCATGAGGGCCAGAGCCGAATCTGGCACTACTGGCTTACGGTGACCGAAGGAACCCCTAGACCTGGCACGACCCTTCTGGGCAGGACCTCCACGCCCCCCCCCCCCGGAGAACCTACAAGGCCGACATAGGCCGTCAACTAGATGAAGCCGCCTGCAGAAGAGGCACCACTGCAGACTCTGCAAACAGCAATGGACAAAAAGGGGATGAAAATCTAAGAGCCAGAAAATTTAAGATGGCTCCCTCCCAGAGGCTGGGAGGGAGCCTGCAGGGAGGGAGGCAGGCAGAGGCTGGGAAAGAGCCTGCAGGGAGGGAGGCAGGCAGAGGCTGGGAGGGAGGCAGGCAGGCAGGCAGAGGCTGGGAGGGAGGCAGGCAGGCAGGCAGAGGCTGGGAGGGAGGCAGGCAGGCAGGCAGAGGCTGGGAGGGAGCCAGGGAGGGAGGCTGGGAGGGAGCCAGGGAGGGAGGCAGGCAGAGGCTGAGAGAGAGGCAGGCAGAGGCTGGGAGGGAGCCAGGGAGGGAGGCAGGCAGGCAGGCAGAGGCTGGGAGCCTGGGAGGGAGCCAGAGAGGGAGGGAGGCAGGCAAGCAGGCAGGCAGAGGCTGGGAGGGAGCCAGGGAAGGAGGCTGGGAGGGAGGCAGGCAGGCAGGCAAAGGCTGGGAGAGAGCCAGGGAGGGAGGCAGGCAGGCAGGCAGAGGCTGGGAGGGAGCCAGGGAGGGAGGCTGGGAGGGAGGCAGGCAGGCAGGCAGAGGCTGGGAGGGAGCCAGAGAGGGAGGGAGGCAGGCAAGCAGGCAGGCAGAGGCTGGGAGGGAGCCAAGGAAGGAGGCTGGGAGGGAGGCAGGCAGGCAGGCAAAGGCTGGGAGAGAGCCAGGGAGGGAGCCAGGGAGGGAGGCAGGTAGGCAGGCAGAGGCTGGGAGGGAGCCTGGGAGGAAAGCAGGCAGAGGCTGGGAGGGAGCCAGGGAAGGAGAGGATGGAGATGGATTGATGAAAGGATGGAGGGAGGGATGAAAGGAATGATGACTTGAGGGAGAGAGAGGGATGGAGGTATGGAGGTTGAGTTAAGCAGAGTGTGTGTGAGTATGGGCTGTAAGGGTGGGGGGGTGTGGGGGAGGTGTGTCGGAGGTGGTGAAGGGACCAGCTCACTGATAACCCTAACTCATTGACCCAGTTAACTTTTTTTTAACTTGATTTGTTTCTTAAATTCTGGATGGATGGAGGGAGAAAGGGGATGGATGGAGAGAGGGAGGGAGGGAGGGAGGGAGAGAGGGAGGCATGGAGAGAGGGGGGAGGGAGAGAGGGAGAGGGAGGGAGGGATGGAGAGAGGGAGGCATGGAGAGAGGGGGGGATGGAGAGGGTGAGGGAGGGCTGGAGAGAGGGAGGGAAGGATGGAGAGAGGGAGGGAAGGATGGAGAGAGGGAGGGAGGGATGGAGAGAAGGAGGGAGGGATGGAGAAAGGGAGGGAGGGAGGGAGGGATGGAGAGAGGGAGGGATGGATGGAGAGAGGGAGGGATGGAGGGATGGAGAGCGGGATGGAGGGATGGAGAGAGGGAGGGAGGGAGGGAGATAGGGAGGGATGGAGGGAGGGATGGATGGAGAGAGGGATGGATAGAGAGACGGAGGGAGGGAGGGAGAGAGAGAGAGAGGGAGGGAGGGAGGGAGGGAGGGAGGGAAAGAGGGAGGGAGTGAGAGAGGGCTGGAGAGAGGGAGGAGGGATGGAGAGAGGGAGGGAGGGCTGGAGAGAGGGAGGGAGGGAGGGCTGGAGAGAGGGAGGGAGGGCTGGAGAGAGAGGGATGGAGGGAGGGAGGGAGGGATGGAGAGAGAGGGAGGGAGAGAGAAAGGGAGAGATGGAGAGAGCAAGGGAGGGATGGAAAGAGAGGGAGGGAGGGAGGGAGGGAGGGAGGGAGGGAGGGATGGAGGGAGGGAGGGAGGGAGGGATGGATGGGGAGGGAGGGAGGGATGGAGAGAGGGAGGGAGGGAGGGAGGGATGGAGAGAGGGAGGGATAATAAGAGAGGGAGGATAATAAGAGATATAAAAAAAACTTATTTTAGAACTGATTTATTAATTTTATTATTTCGAGGCCGTAGTCATTGAACTGTGCCGACGAAATCGAACAAAACACGCATGGTGCTGCGTACAAGAATTAGACCCGTCCACTCACTCACGCTAGAGTTGTTCCAATAACATACAGTAATTTCTCAAATAGCAGATGTCTATCATATTACAGTATATTTTTGGTTTTATTTAGTTTAGTTTAATTAGGATAATAAAAAGCTATTAAAACACTGGTTTTAGAAATTATTTATTAATATGAAACTTTCAAAAGTCATGGGTCACTAAACTATGACGACACAGATGAAAGTGAGTGAAACCTCACTGTAAAGTGAGGTTTACAGTACAATATTCTCTTATCTGTCCACCCTCACTCATCTTGTTTCATCACAGAAAATGTCTATAAGGAGATTTTACCACATGTAGCTAGGTAATCACGCTTCATCCTTTAAATTAATGTACAAAGATACGTGTGCCCCAAATCAGTGAATAAAAATCATGGAAACTCAGTTGTTCACTTGTGTGAATCACTCTGGCTGGTGTTTGTGTGGAATATTCTGGCTGGTGTTTGGTTCATATGGTTCACTTGTGTGATCCAACTTGTCTAATGAAGGAATTATTAATTGTAATCTGTGATAGAATGAGAAAGATTTCCACCACTCTGTGATCTCTGTCCCAAAATCATAAGCTTGTTTACCACTTGTGGTCCATATGTGTGGTCCACTTGTGTGATCCAACTTGTCATATGAGAGAATTATTAATTATAATCTGTGATAGAATGGGAAAGTTTTCCATCAGTCTGTGAACTCTGTCTGGACATCATAAGCAAATGCGAACATCCCCCGCTTCGGCGAACCATTGTTCGTTGAACCGGGTGAGTAAATCCGGCCTGAAAAGTATGCGAACTAGCCGGAGATTCGTTGAATCGGGGTATGTTGAATCGAGGTTGTACTGTATCAACTTATTTATAATCACATTTAATAATATTAATTTGTTGTTAATAACTACTGTACCAACAGGCAGGATCCATATTCACAGTGGTTACATACTGACTTACCTGAGTGAAGTATTCATTAGCAATACGATGAGCCCAGTCAATATACAAATGAAGTGGGCGAACTGGGTTGCTTACATCTGCACACTTGATCATCATACGTTTGATTATAACCAAGTTTTCAGGCGTCCCAAATGACATCAGGTCAGGAGAGTATCTTGCACCCTGCCGAGGCAACTCACGACATCAATATTTTTGCAAATAATTATCACATGTTTATATGTAAAGCAGGAAAATTAATATAACTTTACTTAAACATTAGAGCTCACAATTTACATAAAAAATCTGACTGGACATGGTGATAATCAGTATATTTAGAGTACAACTATGTGTGTCAATTATATTGCTGAATAAATCTTAAGGTTTTCACTATCAATATGTTTGTATCAACACCCTGTTACTATAAATTGTATTTAAGGGGCCTTACTGGATACAAATGAATGAATACAAAACAGTATTTATACAACCATACATTCCTATATGAAAAGTAAGAACAGTACAGTACTATGATTAGTACAAATTTAACAACCATTGATCGTGTCAACCCTTTACATAGTAATTATCATGTTGTGAATGGTTAGGTTTAAAAGCTTACATATATATTACAAAATTGAGATTATGTTGAGCCTGAAGCATTGAATTCAGTCCTCTTTGTTTAGGTTTGGATATTATTTGTATAGAAATACAGTGGTACCTCGCATAACGATCACCCCAAAAGGCGAACATTTTGGGTAACGATCGGCCCGATCGGCAACAAATTGTCCCTTATAGCGAACGCTCGTTTGAGTAATGTTAACACCACATGGTGGGGTTGCGCTGCTTCCAGCACATTCCCAACCGCCACTGACAAGAGTGTTGTATTGGTGTCGCGCACGACCAATATCCCTCTGCATCGCTCCTCGCAAAATTGTGATATTCGTGGGTTTGTGTGTGTGGTTTTGTGACTAAAACTCTGAATGCACGATGTCATCCAAGAAGCAGCCTGTGAAAGCAAGTGTTGGCAAGGGGAAGAAAGAGGCAATCACTGTGGAAGTGAAGAAAGAAATCTTAGCAAAGCATGAGCGTAGTGTTCATGTGGCTGATCATGGCAGGGCTCCCTCAACAATATCCACCATTCTGAAGGGAAAGGATAAATTTAAGACGCTTGATGTGGCCAAAGGAGTTACCAAGGTCACCAGCAAACGTCCAAAACTCCTAGTTTGTAATTACCTAAGTGTAGTTACAGGATGAGAGCTACGCTCGTGGTGTCCCGTCTCCCTAGCACTCTTTGTCATATAATGCTTTGAAATTACTGACGGTTTTGGCCTCCACCACCTTCTCACTTAACTTGTTCCAACCGTCTACCACTCTGTTTACAAAAGTGAATTTTCATATATTTCTCCGGCAGCTTTGTTTCGTTAGTTTAAATCTATGACCTCTTGTTCTTGAAGTTCCGAGTCTCAGGAATTCTTCTCTATCAATTTTATCTATTCCTGTTACTATTTTGAACGTAGTGATCATATCGCCTCTTTTTTTTCTATCTTCTAGTTTTTGCATATTTAATGCCTCTAATCTCTCCTCGTAGCTCTTGTCCTTCAGTTCTGGGAGCCACTTAGTGGCATGTCGTCGTACCTTTTCCAGTTTGTTGATGTGCTTCTTAAGATATGGGCACCATACAATCGCTGCATATTCCAGCTTTGGTCTAATAAAAGTCGTGAACAATTTCTTTAGTATTTCTCCATCCATGTATTTAAAAGCAATTCTAAGGTTAGAAAGTGTAGCATAGGCTCCTCACACAATGTTCTTAATGTGGTCCTCAGGTGACAGTTTTCTATCTAAAACCACCCCTAAATCCTTTTCTTTATCAGAATTCTTTAAAGATTTCTCACATAATTTATAGATTGTGTGGGATCTATGTTCTCCAATTCCACATTCCATAACATGGCATTTATTCACATTAAATTCCATTTGCCAAGTGGTGCTCCATATACTTATTTTGTCCAGGTCTTCTTGAAGGGCATGACAATCATCTAAGTTTCTTATCTTCCCTATTATCTTAGCATCATCAGCAAACATGTTCATGTAATTTTGTATTCCCACTGGTAGATCGATTATGTAGACAATGAACATTACCGGTGCAAGAACTGAACCCTGAGGTACTCCACTCGTGACATTCCTCCAATCCGAAACCTTGCCTCTGATTATGGCCCTCATTTTTCTGTCAGTTAGGAAATTTTTCATCCATGTTAGTAGCTTACCTGTCACTCCTCCAATATGTTCCAGTTTCCAGAACAACCTCTTATGGGGAACTCTGTCGAAAGCCTTTTTTAGGTCCAGATAGATGCAGTCAACCCAATCATCTCTTTCCTGTAAAATCTCTGTGGTTCGATCACAAAAACTGAGCAAGTTCGTTACACAGGATCTTCCAGATCGAAAACCATATTGTCTGTCTGATATTATATCGTTTTCCTCCAAGTGTTCTACCCATTTAGTTTTAATTATTTTTTCCAATATTTTGACTATTACACTTGTCAATGATACAGGTCTATAATTAAGGAGGTCTTCCCTGTTTCTACTTTTGTAGATTGGAACTATGTTAGCCTTTTTCCACACATCAGCTACAGCTCCTGTACACAGGGATGCCTGAAAAATCAGTTGAAGTGGAATGCTGAGCTCGGGTGCACATTCTCTCAGAACCCATGGTGAAACTCCATCTGGACCAACTGCTTTGTTCTTACTTAGCTCCTTGAGCATTTTTTCCACTTTGTCTCTAGACACCTCTATGTGCTCTATGCTGTTCTCTGGAATTCTTATTGTATCTGGTTCCCTAAAGATTTCATTTTGTACAAACACACTTTGGAACTTTTCGTTTAGTGTTTCACACATTTCCTTTTCATCTTCCGTGAATCTATTTCCCATTTTCCGCCTCTGAATATTATCCTTTACCTGCAATTTGTTGTTTATGAATTTATAGAATAGACCTGGTTCTGTTTTACATTTGTCTGCAATCCCTTTTTCAAAATTTCTTTCTGCCTCTCTCCTCACTGCCGTGTAGTTGTTTCTCGCATCTTTGTATCGCTGGTATGTTTGGGGGTTCGGCCTCTTCCTGTATTGATTCCATTTTTGTGTCTTTTGGTCTCTAGCCCTCTCGCAATTTCTATTGAACTAATCCTGCTTCCTAGTGAAGAAAGCATCTCTGTTTTGGTATAAATTTTTTTGTGCCTTTATCATATATTTCACAAAACTTGACATACATCTCATTCACTTCCTTGCCTAGCATCAAGTCTGTTCAATTATACTCACTAAAAAAATTTCTAAGGTCACCATAATGTCCTCTCCTGAAGTCTGGTTTTTCAACTGCTTCAACCTCCTTATTTTCTTCCAGCTTATAACGCATTGCATACTTTATTCCCAAAAAGACATGGTCACTTTTACCCAAAGGAGGAAGGTACTGAATGTCAAATATCTCTTCCTCCTTCCTGGTAAATATCAAATCTAGCATGGAGGGAACGTCCCCCTCCCTCATCCTCGTAGCTTGTTTAACATGTTGATACAAGAATGTTTCCAGGATGAGGTCTACAAATTTACAGGTCCAAAAATCTTCTGTTTTAGCTTCATATACTTCCCAGTCTATGGATTTCAAGTTGAAGTCACCGACTATCAAAAGTCGTGATCTATCGTTATCCGCTCTCGCTATAATCTCTCTCATTATTGTTATAAGACCTTCACGTTTACTATCTAGCTCCTCCTTTGACCATGTGTTGCTTGGCGGTGGACTATATGCATTTATTATCATTAGTTTATCATCCTCATGGCAGATCTCTAGTGCTATTATGTCAACTTCTTGTGGATTGGCAGTCATTATTTCGTTCACCTTTAGGTGTTCTTTTACCAGCACAGCAACGCCACCGCCTTTCCTAATTTTTCTGTCCCGTCTCCAAATTGAGTAGCCCCTTGGGAATATGACCTCGTTTAAAATTACATCTTCAAGTTTTGTCTCCGTGAGTGGAACAATGTCTGGTGTCTGCAGCTGTATTACATCACTTAACTCCAGTATCTTCGATCTCACTCCATCTATGTTGGTGTATGCAATCTTCAGGAACTTGTTCCCCCTCTCCTTATTCTTCACTCCCCCTCTCTCTATTGATTTTGTTGGTTTGCCTTTATGTACCACTTTACTGGTTTGCCTACCCCTATCACTTTGTAGAAAAAAAGAATTTATTTCTTCTTCATTCCTGCTCTCATTTAAATGTTTTGCCTCGGCGAGGTTCAGTTTCAGCTTCTCTCTATCTTCTTTTGAAAGATCTCGTCTTAACGACCACCCTTTCCCATCCTCATCACTTTGCAATTTTCTAGCATTCCTTAGTACTTCTTCCATCTGTTTGGCACCGTTTAGGGTGATCCTCAAAGGTCGATCTTTCCCTTTTACGTACCTGCCTATTCTCCTGTAGTCGCACACAGTAGTCCTGTAGTTGTGTGAGTGAGTGAGCCCGCCTGACCCAGAGGTGGAGCCTCCCTCCTCGCCGTAACCCCTCTCCTCCCTTCCTCCTGATCGGCTCCCTCAAGCCAGCAACGACTCATCATAAGGTAAAGTGAATTTACACACGGGAATAGTCAAACAAAACATTTATTTTACATGAACAGTATCATATTACCAGTGTATAATGTCATATTGTTGTTTAAGGGGGTGAAACAGATTATTTATATTTACATTGTTTTGAATGGGGAAATTTGTTTCGCATGACGTCGGTTTCACATGACGACGACGGTGCTGGAACAGATTAAATTCGTTATTCGAGGTACCACTGTACAAGAAATGTTTAATAAAAATAGATGTACTGTGCTGATAACTAGGCAAACTAATTATATATTAAATCCAATTTTCACTTCTAATTACCACAATTTTATCAACTGTATCAGTCTTAAAATTTACTCATTGATAACAGCTAAAGATGTCCTAATATGCTACTGTCTTAGCAATATTCCTTAAAAATCAAGTGTTGAATGTAATGAAATACCCTCTTCTGGTGTGCCCTCAGTAGCTACCCAAGCTTAAGTGCAGGTGCAGCCCAGCCATAGCAAATCACGCCAATCCTATGTGGCCCACCGAGAGCCACAACCGAAGCGTGGCTCTCTCTCTGTAAGGCAAGGGGATCTTGGGGATCAGAGATCAACCCAAAACAAAA